ATGTCGGCGTTCCATTGAACCCGACCATTGGGCTATTGGATTGCTCCATATTGTCTAGGTGAAGGCTGAGCTCCTTGTAACATCTGACGTACATGATGTCACAAGAGCTGCCTTGATCTATTAGGATGCGTTTCACTTGGCACTCCCCAACCTGGAGGGATACTACCAATGCATCATTATGCGGATGTTGGACCAATTCCAGGTCGGCTTCAGTAAAGGCTATGATCGGCCCTTGGCATTCTTCTGGCCGATGTCTCTTTTCCCCGACTTGGTAGATATGCTGTAAATGTCTTACCCTCTGGGTCTCCCCTCTGACTTCGTTTTCGTTGACCCTTGAGTGGATCACATTAACCACCCTCGGTCCTCCTGCTTGTGGTAGTTGTGCTGGGGGTGGGGGTGCTGCTGGTGCTTGTGGCAACCTTGCCTGTTCTTCCCTTGTCCTGGCTTCATCGACAAGGTCCCTCAGAAGGCCTTGTCTTACCAGGTCCTCCAAGTGTGCTTTCAGGGCTCTGCATCCTTGAGTTGGGTGCCCTTCTTCATTGTGGTAGGCACAACCCCTACCAACGTTCCTTCCCATGAATTCCCCTGGTGCTCTTGCCGGAGCCCTGAAATATGGTTGGTTTCGAATCTGATCTAAGACTTTATGGATTGGGATTCGGAATACCGTTGTTACCGCCTGTTTACTCCTCAACTCTGTTTCTAGTTTGGTCGTTCCATTGTTGCCTCGGCCTCGCTTCGGCGAGCCGTTTCCCTTTTCTTGCTTTACCTCTTTGTTTCCCGATGTATCTTCTTCGGCCCTGGCGTATTTCTCAATTCTTGCCATGAGTTCTTCCATGCTTTTTGGCAATGTTTTTGCCAGAGACTTCCGTAATGGGCAGTCATCTTTCAGGCCGTTCTTGAAAGACACGACTGCTACCTCCTGGTTGCATTCGGGTATTCGGTTGAACACCTCATAGTACCTCTTCGCATAGGCCCTAAGGCCTTCTTCCTTGGTGATTCTTAGAGCCATCAAAGCATTAACCCTCAGGGGTTGCAGCTTGTTAGTCACGAACCTGGCTACAAACATCTCGGCCAGGCCCTCCCATGTCTTTATGCTTCCTTTTGGTAATTTATGGAACCAATCGGATGTAATTTCCCCAAAGGATGAGGGGAATACTTTGCAGAGCAACGGCTCGTTTCCGCTATATAATGCCATTGAATTTAGGTATAGCCCAACATGAAAGTTTGGATCTGACTTACCATCATAGATTTGAAACCTCGACATACTGAATCTCTTGGGTGGTTCGAATTTGTCCAGTTCCACCGAGAAGGCTGTCTTCGGTTTTACTGGGGAGTTTACCTCGGCTTCTGCATTCTGCTGCCTCCTCTTGAGGTAGTCCCTTAAGTCTTCTTTGCTCCTCCCTGAGCTCGCTTCTTTAGATTTTTAGTTCTTTTTGTACACTGCTTCTTTTTTTTTTTTTTGTTTGGCCTTGGTGTGGGTCCTTGGATCTTTCTTCATGGGTTGTGTCAAAGTGGGAGTATTGCCCCCTGAAACATGTCAATGTTCTTTGGGTCTGGATTTTCATGTGGGCTCCTTCGGATTCTCTTTGCCTCGCTTTTTCCCGTCCGACTTCCTGGAAGGCAGTGAGAATGCCTTGCCGCCTCCGTATTGCTGAATTGATATCGGATTGTTTTTCTTCCACCCTTCTGGTGTGTCGGTCGCTGCATCGGCGCTTATCTTGTAGCCGGTATGGTGCGCTGCATAACATTATTCCTGCATCATAAGTTGACGACTGGACTGAAGGTCCGCCAATTGTTCGCACGTTCTTCACTTCCTCATCCTCCGTAGCACCTGTCCTCCATACCTGAGGTTATCTTCATTGTAGACTTTTCTTGGTTTGTTCTTTTTTGACGTGTCGCCTTCTGGGGATCGTTCTCTTCTGACCTGTCATGGGCTTCTTGTATTATGTGTCTCCTTCATTCAAGACAATTGTCTGCGCACTCCCAGGGGAGCATCTCCCCAGTTTTTTCCTGTGTCCTTACTTGGCCATCTATTCTTCCTTCGTTCCCACAGACGCGCACAATTGTGGGTGAAAATCTGGACCACACTGCCCGTTAGTGATCAGCGTGGAAGCACAAGCAGAATAATGCTGTTTCTTTAATAACCAGTACTCAGAAAAGAAAAAGCATCCGGCGGTGGTTCTTCCACCCGGGGGCACTCCGACGATCAAGTCAGTATATCTCTCAAAGATAAATCAAGTGCTAAACTGAATACTCAAAACATAAATTGCATACCTTAGACCCATGGGGGTGCCTCTCTTTTATAATATACTCAATCCAAGTCCCAATAGAAGTATGACTTCTATGAACTTCATATCAATGTTTACTTTGGATTCTTTAAGAGATAAAGATAAACTCCCTAAGAGCTTTATCCTTATCTTGGTTAAGTCCCCTCTCCGTCTTAGGACTCTTGTCCCTTATCTCGGATTCTGATATCTTCGGAGATAACCTCGGCTTCTCCGAAATTATCTCGGCTTAACTACCAGGACACGTGGCACCTCGGCTGACACGTCGGCGTCACCATGCCACGTGTTGGTATTCAGAAAATACATCCCCACAGGACACAAATGAAATATATATTGCAACTTCCATACTTCATAATAAGCAATGTGAACAATGGTAACATTAGCACTAGAAAAGAATAGAAAACAATTAAATAGAACTGGAATAAACTACATTAATATACTCACAGTAAACACCAAGCAAGTTGAAGTCTCAGTTTCTATTAGATTCTACATATTAAAGCGACACTTGATTACACATCAAAAAGCACGTGTTCTCTCACCTGTATTCCTCCAACAAGCATCTCCAATGAAGGATTCATTATTAAATTCTTGATTACCCCATGAGCAGTGGCGACTAGCTGAATGCCACGTTGTGCAATTGTGCCTGCAGCCATTGCTTCAAGTTTTGTGCTAATTTCATCAATTACAATAACTTGTGCCATATGGTTTTCAACTGCTTCAATCAGTACCTAGACATAAATCCTTTAATCAAATGATAGAACATAGCATAAATAAGATGGAGAAAAGAGAATTATACTACTTCAGCATATATCATGTTTTAATTTGATTGGGGGCAATGCCTTGGGCCACTATCGAGGGTTAAATAAAAATGTGAGGAAAACTACACAGTCATTTCGATGAAAATTTAAAAGTTTGCATTATGATATATGTTTTGAGTTCTCAATATTCTTTCACAAACTAAGCTTTAGTTGTTTTGCTTTCTTAAATTGTTTTGCAGGGTATGAAGCTCCAAATCTGAGGTATGCTAAATTGTTACTATTATCTATTGTTAAATGAGTGTTCTCTCTCTGTCTCTCTGTCATTCAACTGAAAAAAAAAATTTGAATTTTAGAAATGAGGGACCATGATCAATCTTCAATTAATAGTAGTGCATCTATCAGAGTTCTTGCATAGATTGGTTGCCCAGTTATTTGTTTTTCCTTGGTCTCTAGAAACTCCAATCTTGCATGTTATCTTGTGTCAAATATTGAAGAGTAATAACATGTTTCAACCTTGCCCCAAGAGATCAAATACAACAAAAATCCTGCTCTATATAACTGATATTACTAATGTATAATTTACTCATAGCTAAGACTGTTCATTCATATGCCAAACAATATCACTCAAGAAATGCTGATAACCCAGGTGCAGCAATTGTACAAGGTTGGCCTGCTTTGTTCTGTTGTAACTTGTAACTGCCCTATTTTAGTGTCATTAACTTCGACCAACACAAAGATATATATTTCCAGAGAGCTTCACTAATTGCATCATTATCTCTTGCAATTTAGTTGAAGTAGCATTTTGCATTTTATCATTTTAAAGGAAACTCGCACACAAAGTGGCAGCCGAGGGATTTCTAGTAGTGGTTCCTGATTTCTTCTATGGTGAACTTTTCGATCTTAATAACCCTAATATGGACCGGGAATCATGGAGAAAGGCTCATGGCATGGTTAGTTTCTGGTTTCACTACCCTTATCTAAAAGTCGGTCATCAAAATTGACATGCTAGTTTCAAAGATTAAAGAAGTGATAGCGCACACAGTTTTTCTCTATTTCAACATCAAAAGGTTCCAAATTGTCATCATGCATAATTTTTAAAATTTTCAGGGTCGTCCAGTTGAGATAGGACTAAAAACTAAAATTTTTGACATGATTGAAATAAAATTAAAAAAAAGTTAAGTAAAGAAAAAAAAGGAAAGAATAAAGATCAACTTTAGGTGGATAAATTCATCACTAAAATGTTGTGAGAAACATATTGATTCTATTAGAACACAAGAGGTTTGGAAAGAAAGAATTTTTTTCTTCAACAATTCAATTAGCCATGTTAATGTGAACTTCTGCATTCCAGGATAAACGGTTTGAAGATGTCAAGCCAGTAATTTCCGCTTTACGAAGCAAAGGAGTCACTTTAATAGGGGCTGCAGGTTTCTGCTGGGGTAGTAAGATATTTCTATTGCTTTTTACATGAAATAAGCTATGAAACTTGACATTTTTGAGCTGGGCTGCTCTTCATCGACGAGTCATGGACTCGCTGCTAAGATTATGGGTTATTTTTTGCGTTTGACTCAGGGGTGGTAGTTGTAAAATTAGCAAGGACTGATGAAATTCAGGCTGCAGTGGTTTTGCATCCCGGTCGCATCACAGAAGATGAAATCAAAGGTAAAATTCACACTTCTCAAGCTCATAACTTGTGTGTGTGTGTGTGTGTGTGTGTGTGTGTGTGTGTGTGTGTGTGACACTGATAGCTTGTTCTTACAGAGGTCAAGTACCCAATTTCAATATTGGGAGTCGAGATTGACCAAGCATCTCCACCTGAACAACTGAAACAGTTTGGGGAGATTCTATCAGCAAAACCCGAGGTAAGAGATTCTCAAAATGTTGCATAGCTGATTTGAGAAAAAATAAAAAATAATTTTAAAGCTGTCTTGTAAAGCTTTGAAAGTTCAGAAAGATAGTTCGTCTTGGCTTCAAGCCCTTTCATCATGTTATTACTCTAATTGATTTTGGTATTCTCATGCAACTTCGATATTATGTACTCAAATTTCAGTACACCTTGTTGACATAACCTTTTGTTATCCTTGCTTAAAGAACTAGAATCCTTTGACTTTCTTCGTTTACATTTTTACCTTATTTTTCAGATCGACAGCTTTGTGAAAATATTCCCTGGGGTATCTCATGGATGGTCGGTAAGATATGATCTTGGTAATGAATCGGCCGTCAAGAGTGCTAAAGAGTCCCATGGAGACATGTTGAGCTGGTTTAAAAGGTACTTCAAGTGAAAAAAATTTCAAATAATTCGAGGAATGATACTGCACTGTTCCAAGGACAAGCGTTGGGTTTTTGTGAGACATCGGGGCAATCTGTGCTTGTAGGGTTTTTGTTAGGCATTTTATAAGACAATAAATTCTCGCATCTTCAAAGACTCCCTCTTTGGGGGGGGGGAATTTTTTAAGCTTATAATGTGATGGATGCAGATTAAATTAAACAAAGAAAGAAGATTTATAAAGTGACTTAAGCTTATAATATGATAAATGCAGATTAAATTAAACAAAGAAAAAAAGTTCCTATCCATTTATGATAGAGGTATAGGTATGACAAAGGAGGAGTGGATCAAGAACTTGGGAACAATAGCTAAATCTGGAACTTCAGGTATTTTATTTTATCAATAAGGCTGAGTGTTTTACTGGTACAATGTGAACTTCTTCCTTGTGGGTAGTTAATAATTAATGGTCTGAAATTGATTTATTTATGATTTTGTAGTAATGCCATGTTATAGCTATTCATTATTAATAAGGTTGTCTTTGAAGGGTTTCATTTTTTTCATTTTGAAATGCGCTTCTTGCAAATACTTTTAATGTTTTTTTCACAGAGATGAGGATATTCCCACACATGTGGATCTCTCAACCCTTGTGTGTCTTCTACGTCTTATGTTTCCTTGGACCATGCATTCTGGTCTGGTCTTTGTGTGGATAAAAAAATAAAAAATAAAAAAGCCTGTTATTTTACATTTTTTTTTTCTATCGTAGAAAATGATGTTGTAATTATATATACCAAACCAAACCAAGTCTTAAATGTGATCAAATGGGATGGGTTACATGAATCTTTTTTCTTCACACGGCCCTATCAACGGCCATTTCGTTAGTTAAATTAAGTAGATTCATATCTCTATATATAACGTTAGTTAACGTTAATCTAGACTTACTCCATCCCCTAACACTTCCATCTACCGTTGCAGCATCTCATTTTTTCACTACTGCCTCTGTTGGTCTTCGTTAAATATGACCAAATCATCTTAATCGATTCTCTCTCAACTTATCTTTGATCGGCGTTACTTCTACCCATTTTTGAATATATTCATTCCTAATTCTATTTTGTCTAGTCTTGCCACACATCTACCTTAGCATCCTCATCTCAGTCACACTCATCTTATCTATATATTGTTTTTGATTGCCCAACACTCTGTCCCATACAACATTGTTGGTATGTTGTAATTATATATATATTTTTTTTAAAAAAATTATTACTATATATTTCTGCTTTTCCTTGATGATATAATCAACAAAATGTCCATCATCTAATACACTCAGAATGATTATTTAATTTTTTTTTTTTTTACAAATTATTTATAAATGACAATTATCTGAGATATGGCCCATATTTTAGTAATTTTGTTTTTGATTGCCCAACACTCCGTCCCATACAACATCGTTGGTATGTTGTAATTATATATATATATTTTTAAAAAAAATTATTACTATATATTTCTGCTTTTCCTTGATGATATAATCAACAAAATGTCCATCATCTAATACACTCAGAATGATTATTTAATATTTTTTTTTTTACAAATTATTTATAAATGACAATTATCTGAGATATGGCCCATATTTTAGTAATTTTAAATCTAAATTATACAACTTATTTTTGAGGATAAAATTCAAAATAAATTTTCATGATAGATAACACATTTCTATTTTCCAAGTTCTAAAGCAGTGAAGAAGGCGATGGTTGACTGGCTCATCAGTTTCATTGCCACATAAAACACATAAACTAGGCCGTCCTTACTGTCCCTTTGGGATGATTCATGTAGTCATGTAATCTTGGTCGTCCATTTGAGATGTGAATATTGATTGATCATGGTAAAAGTCACATTAAATTTGCATTTATAAAACTAATTGATGATAATTATATTTTTAAAAATAAATTATTTATTTTTTCAATGGTGTGGTTCATGCTCATGGTAATGCCATTTTGTTGAGGAGTCTTCTTAACTGTTTTTTGGTGCCGAATACCTTGACTGCGACAATACTCATCAAATGGCCCAATGTATTCACTACCATTGTCTGATCAGATGCACTTCAATTTCTGCCTTATTTCTCTTTCAACCATGGTCTGAAAATGCTTAAATACACCTAGAACTTGATCTTTAGTTTTTCGTATAAAAGTTCAAACTTTCCTTGAATAATCATCAATGAAAGTAACAAAATAAAGTGCACCACTATGTGTTTTAACTTTCAAAGGACCACAAACATCCGAATAAATCAACTCCAAAACATTTTCTTTTCTAGAAGCAACATTCTTATGAAAAGAAACTCTATGTTGTTTACCTGCCAAACAATGAACACAAGTTTTAAAATGTGTATTTTTCAAACCGGGTAGAAGCTTTTTCTCGAACAAAATTTATAGCCCTTTTTCACTCATATGGCCAAGCTGCTTGTGCCATAATTCGGTAGAAGTATTATCTTTCAAATGCATTGATAACAACTTTACAAATTTTTCCTTGCATCGAATGAAGTGTATGAGTCTTCTTGCACTTAGCCACCACCAAAGAACTCTTTGTGAGCTTCCATATTCCATCACCAAATTTGTTGTTGAAGCCTTCATTATCTAGCTTCCCGATAGAAATCAAATTGAGATGAATGTCAGGAACATGCCTCACATCTTTAAGTAACAACTGCAACCCAAATTTGTTTCCAAGCAAACATCACCCATGCTAATAATCTTGGACAAACCTTCATTACCCATTCAAACACAACCATAATCTCCTTTGGGGTAGGTAGTGAAGAAATCAACTCGAGAAGTCACATGAAACGAAGCACCAGAATCAATCACCTAATTGCTCTTTTGACCCACAAAATTGATACAATTAACTTCACAAACGACCATGAGATCATCGGTAGTAACTGCCGTTGTGCCTTTTTGCTTCTTATCCACACTTTTGTCACGGCTTTTTCTCCTTGTTTTTGAGCTTTCGGTATTCCTGCTTCATGTGTCATTTCTCATGGCAATAATGGCACTTAATGTCTTTCTTTAAAAAAGAATCATCTCTTGATTTGTCACGGCTTTGATCACGATCATGAGGAGTCTTACTCCTCCCTTGTTTTGCTTTGGCCTCTCACAATAAATGCTTTTGAATGAGAGGAACTCATTGATTTTCTTCTAGTTTTTTCATTCAACAAGCTACTAGTGACTTGGCTCATTGTGACAACTCCATCGAGCACCGAATTACTAACTATCACAACCAAAGTCTCCCAACTTTCGGACAAAAAACTAAGTAGCATCAAAGCTTGCAACTCATCATCAAAAACAATTTTCATAGAAGTAAGTTGGTTAACAATACTCTTTATTTCATTCAAATATTCTGGAATAGGGATGTCATCTTTATATTTTAAATTAACCAACTTTTGAAACAGAAAAGCTTTATTTGTGGATGATTTCCTGTCATAAAGGCCTTCTAATTTTTTCCATAAATCTTGTCCTGAAGTTTCAGTTGCAACATAATGAAACACACTGTCATCAATCCATTGACGGATAACAGCAATGGCTTTTCAATTAAACCTCTTCCATTCATCATCTTTCATACCATCGGGTTTGCAACTGTCACCCTCAATAGACCCATACAAATCTTTACAAAATAATAGGTCCTTCATTTTAGTTTTCCAAGTTACCCAATTACTTTCATTGAAGCTAGACATACGACCTACATTCCCCTCCATTAATTTACACAAATAAATAAACTCAAATAAACCGTAAGCTCTGATACTAGTTGTTTGGGAAAATATATGATTTCCCACAACTAAATCAATCAATGAGAATAAAAACTAATGCGAAAAAATTAAATCAACAGCGACACAAGAATTTTACGTGATTCCCTCAATGTGAGGTACGTCCACGGGATCAAAATCTGATTCTACTATCAATCAAACAGTTTCCAAACAATTACAAATAAGACACGAATGATCTCACAAAATCATCCTTAGGTAAATTCTAAATAATCACAAATAAATAAGAGGAAAGTCCTCACCAAATAGATGAATAAAAGTTTTCGAAATAGAGTTGTAGAAAACACAAAATAACAACACAAATCAACCTCCAAGCACCAGTCAAAAATATACTGACAATGCTTCAAAGCAACCAAAGATTCAAAACTAAGAAAAACTTCCAAGCATCAGTCCGAAATAGCACCCACCGAAGAGGACAAATAAGATAGCTGCCGCAACACACCCGCGGGAAAAGCAAAACAATACCAATCAAATATGGTTAATTCTTGAGTTTTATATTAAAATTTTAGTTGCTACCAAATTGATTATAAAATACTAATTAGACCTTCAAAAGTTAGGTATAATATAACTTACACCAAATCAAACTAAATATTTTAATAAACTAATTGAATTCTATACTAGACTAAGGAGGTATACCCTACACTCAATGGGTACCGTGAGATGGCTGTCGTTAGTTGGTATAGTGTTTTCTAACTGCCACATGGAGATGTTATGTTGAAGATCTATATACCTAATCATATGTAAATGAAATGATTAGTGAATAATTAAAAATTCTATGAGTGAAATATTGGCCTAAAATATTTTAATACATTACTATATCATTAAGTTTGAAAAATGAGTATAACTTTTAGATTTAAATAAAACTACTATTCTTCAATAGTACCGCTGGTAGTGTTAACAGTTGAGGTCAATTTTCAATTCACAATAGTGGCTTCTCAAATTTTCAATTTCTTTTCCACAAATTCTTACAGAGACTTAAAATTTAAACACAACGTTATATATTGCTTTATGGAGAATGACACGTAACAGAAGACATCTGAATTTCTTTAATGAGCCCCATCCACTTGTTCAATATAATTTATGTAAACCAACAAAAAAAATTAAAAATGATAGAGATTCCTTTTTTCCTTAACTCTCATAATCCCCACAGACACATCTCAGTGAGTAATAGGAGGGAAAAAAAAAAAAGGTAAAAAGTTAGTCAACCCCAATATATTGGGGGTGATGGAGGTCAAGAAAAAAAAGGGTCTTAACCTTTTTTCCAAAAAAATAGGCTTTGACAGTCGAATTAATTTTGCAATTATTGACATTAAATTTTTTAAAATGAAGCATTTAGCCGCGGGAATTTTTTCTTTTTTAAAATGCAATTCAAGTGTTTGTTGAATAATGTGACAGATATTAAACAGCTAATTTGATAGAACGAATATTAATATTAATAATATTAATGTTATAAGTTTTCTAATTTCACCATTGTTTAATACATATTCAAATTGACACCATTGTTTAATAATATTATGAAAATAATGATAAAGAAAGAAAAGAGAGAATTCTGATTTTTTATTTTTGGTTTAAGAAATTTGGCATAGCAGTCGGTTGACTAATATGTGATATTAGATTGAGTTTGGATCTCAATAAATTTGTGTGAAAGGAAAATAAAATGAAACAAAATTCACTTTTTATTTAATTCACAAATCTTTTTTCAATTTTTTTTTTATTTATATATATTTTAACACAAATTTATG